GGTGTTGTGCCTTTTTGTGTCCACTTGACATTTTGTGGTGGGGGTGTTGGTGTTAACGGTGTCTCAGGATCGCTGCAGCAAAACGTGAGGCTTTGCAGGCATCAGGGAAAGCAAAATCCCGCACAAAGAAGGCAAAGACTGAGTAGCTGCTTAGGTGAACCTTTTTTCACACGGAGCGGGTTACGCTCGGGGGTTTGGGCTGCATGTAGTCGGAACACCTGCTGGAAACAGGTGATGACTACTGCCGCGGCCAAGGGTCAAATCAGTTTCAAGCTTCCACCAATTGGTTTTCTCAAAGCGATTTTACCATCCGTTAATATAGGTTCCTGTGTGTGTGTTGCTACGATTACTTGCACGTCGTAAAGTTGTGAGCGTGTATCCTTTCTTTCTCAACCAATGTTTTGTGGGAAGCTGAGTCCACGACAGAGATCTGGCACACATGGCGACAGTGAAAATAGGTTTCCCCTTCACCGCTCGGAAGTCGAACGAAACGCTGACACGCACATAACTCAAACAATGCTTTTCGTTTCTGTTGCGTGGCAGAAGTCTCGGTTCCAGGCCATGAAAAAATTGGCTTTACTGTTGAAAAATCCGAGAAAAAAGAAACAGGTTCCCGATAGGCTTAGTTTGCGGGACAGCCCTCTAGCACGAACTGCGGCTGAGCACATTGGCAAGGGGGCAGCTGCTTCACTGTTGCAGAAGTTTGCAAAGGCTGCTGTTCTAGAATCTGGGGAAGACCATGTGAGTGCAAGCAACTTGTAAAAACTAATTTAAAACAAGTCGCAGCTTGTTCTATAGGCCAGTTAGGTTGGGCAAGCTAGTTGCTCAAAGATTTTTGCACTTTGTTTGATCGGTTTGGGGTTAACGGTGAACGTAAGGTACCCGATGGGCTGCCAGATTGGGAAACCACGGCAAACGGACCTACCACACAGAGGATACCTTTCACAAAGCTCTTTCAAGATCTGATGACGCGCCTTGACCATGTCACACAGTTTTGTCACACATTTTTTGTTATTGGTACGCGTGATTGCGGGCGCAACGCAAAAGGCCATCATCAAGTGCCCAATCTCGTATGTTGTGATCCCTGTGGTTGACAAGCAGGCAGCGCGTGCTTTGAGAAGAAAACCAAACAAGAAACGCAGATTCAACGTGCGGAATGCCAAAAACACCAAAGGAAAGAAACATCAACCTACGAAGTCAGGGGCAGCCCCCCAACCCATCACTCAAAAGAAGTGGCCAGTGATGAACCCACGTGTCATGCTCGATGCGGTGGCCAAAGCTGGAGCAAATCATCTCTTGCGACTCGGTTCTGCTGGTGAGCTGTTTCTTGAAGCTTTGCGTGGGCACACACACATGTGTTTTGACCGGTTCTTTGCGTCCCGTGTGCGTGGGCAGACTGAGGGAGGGGGATGACTTCGACTGGCTAGAGTTTTGGGAAGCAGCCAAGAGCGAGCCTTGGGGCCGGTACCAACCCCAGTTGCAAACATGCGCCTTATACGCCGTTCCTTCTTTTTGGGATTTTGAGGTCGCACGTTGCGCAATCATGGCCGGCTGAGAAAAGAAAACGGGCAATTGGGATAGCTGCTCACGGCGATGAAGGTCAAGGAAAGAAGGACAAAAGTGTTTTAGTACTTTCGTGGAGCAGTTTTGGCGTCCACAAACGATCAACTTCATGCAAGTTTCCATTTGCGGTTTCTGGGCGGGCACTGTACGTGAGGCATATCATATTGAATTGTTCCCCAAAGAAGTGGTAACATTGTGCTTGCAAGGTTATGCGCTCAACGTGCTTTGCGTACGATGGCAAACGGAACTTGACATTGGAAATGCTACAAAAACACTATGTCAGGCCGGGTTGCAACAAACTATTTGACATGTCTTTGATGTTCAACCATCAGTTCTGCGTATAAGAATTCGCAGGATGTTCAACGAGTGTGCCCACATGCCTGATGGTGACCAACTTTCTTTGCACTATTGCGCAGGGAAGGGGGATTGGAAATTTAAGAAGGAGTGGTTGGATGAACGAAGATCTTATTTGAGGGCGGCGAAGAAAGAAGGTTCCGATGGACCGCACATGGTCTGTAGGCGGTGTTTGGCGGGATCAGATGGTTTCAAACCGTGGTTGGATGTAACAAACATGGCATTCCACAACCAAGCGGATATGGACGCTGCTGCAAGAAATTGCGCCTCGCATGTTATTAAACATGTGTGCATTGGTATTTGTTTGTCTTTTGTAAAACTAAAATAGGTTCCAGATCTCCCAAACTCAAAGAGTCTGATATCAGGCATTGGGCCGAATGTGGCTATACGACATTTGTCAGGGTGGCACATTAGTTGTGAGTATCCAGACATATTGCATTCGGTCTGGCTTGGAACTGCCCGGGACACCATCGGGTCGCTCATGATGGACTTATGCGAATTTGGACCATGGTGGCAAGATTTCAGTGCTTGGGATGACAAACTTCACGCAATGACGCTTGATGCGCGACGTTTCTGTGAAGATCACAAGATCCCCCCGTGCACGATTGAGGAATGGAGTACCTTGCCACAACCCAGCTTCATACTTGTAAATGCCCTGCTTAGTTATATATATTTACAGTATATATTATATCTATATCCCGTGTTCTGGTGCGCGCACGCCGCTCAGGTCTAACAAAACTTGGTGTTGATGCAGTTACACTGGACTACCCTGAAGCATCGGGCAATGCCTTTACCAACCGAGTTTTGTTCTTCAGCTGAAAACTTCAATTTCCGTCCTAAAGGGAAAAACACACAGTCCAATTTTTTGCACCGAGGCTGGCATTTTTGACGGAACGGCTGAATGAAACTTGCCCGGCAAACAGTGCAAACACGCAAACTGGACAACAACACACAAAACGATCAAACATGGGCGCAGCAACTAAGGAAGCATCTCTATCTTCAAAAGATTTGCGGGTGCAAGCAGTATGTAGCTGGTCTTTGCATACGTTCAGTACCACTTTGGATGGGGCCCAAATGTGGCTGTCAAACGGGGAAGCTTCACGCCTCGTAAACCTGGGAATGGTTTACGTGCAAAGTGTGGTGAAGTTGGGGGAGATTGCACTCAAAGAGTGCAGACCTCGCTACAAAATTAGACCTAAATTCCATAGCTTTTTGTGCGAGACTGTTCTTAGGATTTCTGATGGTTCGCGGATGAACCCGCGCTTTGTGTCCTGTTTTCAGGACGAGGATTTCATAGGGAGGGTTTGCAAGCTCGCGCGAATGCCGAGCAGTCACCCGATGACAATGTCCAAAAGACTGCTCCAAAGGTGCCTTTTACAGCTGAACTCCCAACTCATGAGCTCGACTTAGCGGAGGAAAAATAGCTCAGAGTTTGCAGTTTTGGGATCAAACATTTCACTACAAACGTATTGCCACATATCCAGAGCCCACAAGCCCACGCCCTCAAATCAACACTCCAAAACTTATATAGTGTCTATTTATAGATATATGTTTGCGTGATAACTTACGGCAGGCTCAAGAATTTTGTTTTTGCTTGCTGCGGCGCTGTTGCGTTTGCACATATGTGGGCACATGTGTCGGCGCGTAAAGCATATCGGCCATGCTGTGATGCTGGCACGGCGTGTTGAAAAGGCTCACATGTTTCAAAGCAGCATTGTTTGGCAAAGACACGACACTTGTTGGTGAACTTGTGAGCGGAGCTTGCATCCAAGTGTGGCCACTTGCCACGGTTCCACACACACGTGTTCCACAAATCAAAGTGGACAAAAAAAAGGGTCCCAAGCCAAGGCTGGTGCCTGGCCAACTTGAGATGGTCAAAAAAAAAATGTACGTTGTACATTTTTTAGAAGTGGCCAGCTCTCCTGGTCCTCCTCCCACAAGACCTCAGGCGCGCTGGCCAAAAATAAAGATGCAGCAAGTCGAAGCTGATGTCCCTGTTTTTGTTTCTGTGAGTCATAGCGCAAGGGAGTCTGCGCTGTAGAACTGCCACTGGCAGCATCGGTCCACTGGCCGACAGCCACAATACCAGCCAACGTAGGCACCACCCGTCTGAAGCTGTAGGAACTGAGGTGCTGAACGTCCAAGACACCCTCAAAATACGGGCGGATCACGCGAAGAAACTGGCCAATGGAGACGGGGGGAGGTGAAAACACGCGTAGGTCCATGGTGCTCCCGGATGAAGGTGGCCAAGGCATGGGAGTCGGGGAACGTGAGACCGCACCAAGTCCTTCCATGTGTGGACCACACGCTTGATAGTGGCCGCCTCTGTGCGGGCACAGATCTTCTCCAAGCGGGAGTGCCAATTGGCCATGTACTCGTCGTGGCGGGCTGGCGGTGGCGGCATCAGCGTCACCATGATGCCCAACAAATCTCTGATAAACAGAGAGGCGACACCCCCCTTTTCGCCATGACGGGCGTGCTGGCAGCTTCTTCGGCCTGACAGGCCCAGCAAACGAAGACGGCTTTGGGCGGGCCACCGAAGACGAAGGCAATGACGTAGCCGCAGTACTGGAGGGCTGAGCAGAGGGCGGGACTGACGGACCGTCTCTCTCTCAAAGAGGTTCCGAACCAGGGCAGCCATCCCTTGCTCACTCTCGCGGCGAGCAAGGTCCCACCCGTCTGCCACTGCACGTCCTGCTTCTTGAAGGGCTTGGTCATACGAGGTGAGCCAGAAAGCAAGGTCGCTGGCGCTTTCAATGCCCACCCGAGAACACCACGTGTTCAACTTCACTTGCTCAACAGCGCGTCGAGCAGTCGCATCAGCCATGGCTCGCGCCACAGAAAATCCGAAGAATCAGTGGCACTGATTCTTATGGAGCGACGCTCCTTTTTGGCTTGAGCCCCAAGCTGAAAAAGGAGTGAGTGAACTGAATGACATCAAATAATTCCTCATCACCGACCCTGAATGAATATAGACCCGGAGGAGCCCACACTTGCTTCGCAAGACAAACTCAAGGTATCCCCCTGAGGGCTACCTTTCGTGAAAAAGCTTCTGTCCCAGAATATAGACTTAAGCTCCTTGCGCACAGCCCTCAAGGTGGCGGCAAGCTCAGCATCGTGTTGCCCTCAGATGCTCAAGACATCTAGAAGCTTGAATCACTCAGATGCATCTCATCATATTTCATCCATCAGTGGGCCCATGTCCGAAAAGTCTTATACCTTGTCCCTTCAGCCTCCGTGACTGAATGTGAAACGGCTCCCGGGTACCCTGCCAAGGACAGCAACGCGGAAAGGTCCTGTTGGCCCCCTGTCCTATCACAGCGAAGCTGCCAAGTGCAACATGCAGAACTCTGAGAAGCTTCTCAGGGCCTTTGGAAGACTCAGAAGACGCTTTTGAAGACCCACAGCAATAGGATCCTTCGAACGGACGTGACTTCAGTCTTGGCCCAATGTCAATGTGACCTGCCCTGTTCAAAACTGGCCAGCTATGTTTCGATTGATTGGTCATAGACTGAATTGCCCTCTGACAAACACAAAAAGGCTGCTTGACTTTTTGGAGATGCAAATCCAAATCATCGCAAATTCCTGAATGAATCCTTGGGCAAACAACTGTTTTGGCTGCAGCAGCTCAACTAAAAATTTGCTTCCTTGCAGGAGCTCCTAAACTCCAACACTTGGCAAAAGCCCAGAATGCGACTGAAAGGTTTTGAGTCAGCTACAATACCCCTCTACGCGTTGATGACTGCCTTACATCTGGGCTCCAGAATGAATATATACTGTATGTGTAAGTGTATACTGTATGCTGTTGTGAATTGTCCATTGGAAGAACGCACTTCGAAGGTGAAATCCGGGCGGGTGATTCAAACTATTGAGGACGGGTTGTCCACCTTACCACGAAGGGGTCCTTCAGATCAGAAATCTCGGTCTCGGAACGAGGATCCTGTCCGTAATCGGCCTGCTGATCTTCTTGAGATATGCCCAATCCCAACTGACCACCCAAGTTAATCAAATGGGGGGCGACGGGATTCAGTTTACACATGAAGATGGAGATCTTTCCACTCCCGAAGGAGTCAACAAATTATGAACATGGGTCTACTTATACGAGCCAACTCACATCTGGACAACCCCAGATTGCAAAGGATGGGGTGGCTTTTCCCAATTGAACATGACACAAAGTAGTGAATCCGAAGCAAGAATCTTGTTCATGCAAGAGTTTGAGAGAAGGTGTTTAACACTATGTAATGATTTATATTGGCACCAGGTCTCCCATGGTGGACATTTTCATCTGGAGCAGCCACAAGGATCAGATATGTTGAAGCACCCTGAAGTGTATGATATCATGACGGGAACATTGACATCCTGCTTTGATCAATGCACAGTTGGCAAGCTGCGTCCCCCCCCCGAAAGGACAAGTTCCTTCGCAATTTTCGCGAGCGATCCATCGTTCAGACGACATCGCGACTGCTACATCATTCACTTTGTGGCCAGTGGTGTCAAAGAAAGCATGAGCATCAGATGATTGAGGGAAGTTACCAACATCACAACATCCGACAGAACATTTCAGCATTTGCAGCCAGATACACCAGCACATTTGCAGGACACATCACAAGGGTTCTTTTAAGGGGTGTGTATGTGTGTGGTGGTGAGGACTCCCTTGTTGTTGAAGAGTTGCTTGCTGGTATTGAGACTTCCGAAGGGCAAAAACGATCACTGGACTCCAAAGAAATCGCTTTGGAGTCATTGCATCATTGCAGCTGAAGCGTCGGAAATGCGAGTTTAAACAGGTCAGACCATTGGCAGTTCAAGGCCAAGAGGAAGTGACCTGGGAAGAGCTAATGAAAGAGGTCTCTGCTGAGACACCTAGAGTTGGGGTGCATCAGGTTCAGAGATTGTTGAGTGAGAGGATTGGTTCAAAGCTCCCTGAAATGGATGTTCGATTGGTCTTGTCATGTCTTGGTACGGACCGATATCGTGTCCCTCCGGACTGTGACCTCGAATCCATTCCTCTTCGAAAGACCATTTTCGTGCATCGAGTGAGTGGAGAGTGTCTCGATGCAGGTCCTCCAGAAGAATTTCTCAAATTGAGCAATTACTAGGAAGCTACTAGGAGCAAAGGGTACCAGGAACAAGGAAGCTACTAGGGGGTTCCTGGCCTTACTACTAGTAACAAGAAGCTATAAGAAACTGAAACAATAAATAGAATTAGAATTGAATTAGACTTGAAGCGAATCCAAAAGTGTGGTCCCGCACGGTACCAGAGCCTGAGAAAGGAGACAAACCAGTTGAGGGTGAAGAAAGTGCAGTGGACACCACGGGATAGGCACCACGGCCCATCACGGTGCCAGGACCTGCTTTCAACAGACTTGCCCCGGAGGTGAGACAAGATCTCAATCGGCTCCATCAAAACCTCGGTCATCCTGCACCAGACTTGTTTGTCAAGATTTTGAAAGAAAGAGGGACCTCACAAGAAATACTGGATGGAGCTTTTGAATTTCAATGTGCTACCTGTGCTGAAACTGTTGGAGTACCCCTCGCAAAGCAAACCCGGTTCAATTCATCGTGATTTGGAAACTTGGGAAGTCATTTTACTTCATTCACTTTCTTGATGAAGGGACATTGTTTCATTTGGGGACTCCATCCAGTAAGAACACAAATGATATCAAATGATCAAACTCGGGCATTTGAAGACACATGGCTGCAATGGGCAGGGCCATGCAAAACCTTGTACATCGATCCGGCTGGAGAGTATGTCAATGACAAGTGGCGCGATTTCTTCCAAAGAGAAGGAATCCAGTTGGCCATGACAGCAGGTGGTTCTCCATGGGAAATAGGTCGAACCGAAAGACATGGAGCCATAGTCAAAGCGATGCTGACCCGGATGGACGCTGAGCATCCGGTTTAGAGTGAAGAGGATTTTTGAGTCTGTTTGAGACATGCATTTGCAGCGAAGAATTCTTTGAGCAGGGTCAATGGATTTACCCCGGAACAAGCGTTGTTGGGAAAATCTAGGACTTTGCCCCTTGGTATCGGACGATCTTGCCAGTAGCCATGTTTTGGCTGAAAGCGACACTCATGAAGGCCTTCGGTTTCGAGAAAGCCTGTGGAGGAGAGACAAGCTAGAAGACGTTTCGTTGCTGCCGACAGCGATTCGAGCTTTGATGTTTACCAAAAAGGGGATTGGGTTTGGTACTGGAAGAGAACCCAACAAAGTTCCCGAAGAGAACGTGATCGATGGTATGGTCCCTCACAGGTTATTCCTTTAAAGATAGTTGAGTTTTGTGGTTGAGTCATGGTGGAAGGTTGGTAAGGGCTAGCCCAGAACAAGTTCAACCTGCGTCTCTCTGGGAATACCATCTACTCCCCAAAGATTCCCAGGGGGAGGTGCAACAAGAAGTGTTGGCTGAAGGAAAGGGACCTCGAGATTTTTTTGCTTTGGAGGGTGTTCCTGAAATGGACTATGAACCAAGTGAGGCTCCTAGTGATGTAAGAGAGGTCGAGATTCCTCTATATAAGTAGCCAACCTGAAAGTGAGATTCCACCACCCAGCTCTCCCACCGAATGCTCAGCAGCTGCCGAAAGGGAAATGGAAGTTGATGGTGAGGGCATTGATGGAGTTGATGTCCCAGTGCCAAGCGATGATGAACTTTTATTTTTTGATGATGAGTATCGTTGAACGAATCGTTGGAAGGAAACCACTGCCGCTTGCTTTGAGATCACTTTTAAGGATGGTCCTTGGGCAAAGTTCACTCCAGAAGAGTGCCTTTTTGACAACCAGTCCGAAGAAGGAGAGAATTGAGGTTCGATGGAGTGATTTGAGTGCAGAGGACAAAGCAAAGTTCTCAGCTGCAAAGGACAAAGAACTCAAAGCATGGCTGGATCATGGAACAGTTAAGCGAGTTGCCGCCGGAACGCTCCAACCAGAATAGATAATTAGATGCCGTTGGCGCCGTTGGATTCCGGTTTGGAAGCCTCAAGAATCCCCGGGAGAGAAGCGGGCAAAGGCCAGGTTGGTTTTGGGGTTTACTGACCCAGGCGTGTCAGTCCCAAATGATGCCCCAACCAGTAAGGATGGAAAAATGCTCTTCAGACAGTGAGCAGGAAGTGGACCTTAACGAATTTTGACATTTCTACCGCATTTCTCAAAGGGAAGGAGATGACAGACGGCTCGGCTTAGCAGCTCCCGCTGAGATGGCCAAGGCCTTGCAGATGTCAGGAGAAGACTAATGCCTCCCTGCAGGGTAGAGCATACGGTCGTGTGGACGGTCCTTATTTGTGGTATAGGTCTTTGAGAAGGGCTTTGGAAGAGTTGGGTTTTGTATGTTGTCCTTTCGACAGTTGTTTGTTTGCTTTAATCACAGAAGGACCGGACAAACGACCTCAGGTTCATGGTGTGCTGGGAGATCATGTGGACGATGGGATAGGTGGAGATGATGAATACTTCATACTTCCATTCAATCCTCGAACGTCTCTGGGAAAAATATAGTTTTGGGGAGAAAGTTCGTCTTCTGTGGGGTTCAGTATTTTCAATGGAAGATGGGTCTATTGAAGTAGATCAACAGGATTACGGATTACATTGAGAAGATCCCAAAACCAGAAGAGCAGAGCTTCAAGCCATGGTGACCGAGAGTGAAAGGCAGGAAATCCGGCAACTGGTTGGATCTCAGCAGTCCACACAAGGCCTGATCTAGCCGCAAAGGTAGAAGAGGTTCAGTCCAGGGTCACGAAGGCCAAGGTTGAAGATATGTTGACCCTTAATCGAGTTCTCCATGAAGCCAAGATAAGCCAAGGTTCATCCAGTGTGCCTTCATATACTTCGACTGTCAATAGACACTCTCACATCTTGTGCATTCTCAGATGCCTCATTTGCGACAACAAAGGAGCTATCCTCCAGACAAGGTCATATTATGTTTGCTACCGACAGTCAGATTTTGAAGAATAGACCGAGTGTGGTTTGTCGCATGGTTTGGTCATCCAAGAAGATAGCCCGAGTTGTGCGCTCGACGCTAAGTGCAGAGGCAGTTGCTCTAAGTTCATGTCTGGACAGGCTGTCTTGGATCCGTCTTTTTTGGAAATGGCTGGTCAATCCAGCAATCGACTTGACAGACCCTGGAAGGATCCTGAGCAAGGAACACCCGCCGGCAGTCACAACCGAGTGTAAGTCAGTCTTCGACATTGCAACCAGGACATCGGCTCCTTTGTGTGAGGAGTATCGTACATGCTTGGAGTGTTTGTTGATAAGCTACCAAGTCAATGGATGGATCACTCATCAGACAATGTCTAGCGGAAGGCCGATACAGCTTGTTTGATGAGGAATCGACTTTGAAAGAGAGGGCCGACCGTCGAAACAAACTTTTCTGGGTTAAGAAAGATTCTTGAAATTTTCAAGTGTAGAAGATTTTGATGAGTGTCAATTGTCCATTGGAAGGGAGAGCTCCAGACCGTTTCGTGACCGACTTCACCCCTGCGCTCAAGTGGTGGGTGGGCAAGGACAGTGTGAGGAAACAGACACATTGCACAGGGACAGGGGCGGTTGTGGACAGCCAAGGTTCCACCTGTTTAGGTTTGAGGGCAGGGTTGTATTTTATAGAGGTTTCACAATTGTGTGTGTGTATGTATATATGTATATATAGAGAGAGAGATAGAGGTATGTATAGTATTGCTTTTGCAAGATCGGTGGAGTACGCACCTCTCTGAGCCTCAGTTGCGCAGAGGTCTGCACACAAGTAGCCACACACCTCTTAAGAAGCTGAAGGCAAAGCCAAACGGACAAGATCTGAAAAGCATAATTTCCAAGGTATTCCATGCAGGGAACCATGTCAAGACCTCGAACATCGTCAAACTCTATGGAATCCTTTTTCCACCGTTCCCTCTGGCGCTTGAAGTCGACACCAGGTGGTGTCCAAACGACCAAGGAAAACTTGTCGAAAGCAGCAATGACAACTTGAAGCTGTCATACTGATACATCCATGGGCACGTACTGACTGACAGCTAAATCTTGCATTGTTTTTATGAAAGCTCCTTTTCGGCCCTCCATCTCAT